TTTCTCTAAATATACCTTAAAAGAGCACCTTGAAGGAATCCATAATGATGCCAACATCTCAGCACCTACTCACTTTGTTCCAGGTGCTGCTCAGAGCTTGTAAGTAAATGATTAATCTCTTTGCTAACTTTCTGAAGTAGGAGTTATTATCCAATTTTTCAGATGAGGAAATGGACATAGGCATAGTTAACGGAGGACATTATTTGAACCGGGCTCTGACTTCAGAATTACTACATCCTAAGAGGGAGATCCAGTTACATTGGAATCACTTCCTCCTCTCAGGACACCTTTAATCTAGATCCAGTTATCACTCCCATTTTACAGATAGAGAAGCTTCAAGCCATTACCTAGCTATCAATCAGGCAATGTGTGTGGTAGCCTAGAGGCATTTGTTTCCAAAGACTATGCCCATCACAGGCAGGGCTGAAGATAGGTCCCCTGACCTCAGCCTTCCCAAGTCATGCCTCTCCTTCACCTAGAACTGAGACTTAGGCTTGGATATCATGGAAGATAAACAGGAATGATGCTCTTGGTTAGGGGTTGGGAGTGGGTATATTAAAAAGTGAGACTTTTTTTTTTTTAAAACAGGGCCTCATTCTGTGGCATGGGATGGCCTATAACATGTATGTAAGAAGAGCACCAATGTTGTACAATGCCCACAGAGGTCAGAAGAGGGCGTCGGATCCCCTGGAACTGGAATTATGGATGATAGTCATCATATGGGTTCTAGGAACCAAACCTCAGTCCTCTGCAAGAGCAGCCAATGCTCTTAACTGTTGAACCATCTCTCCAGCCCCCTTAAATTTTAATTTTATTTCTTTTATGTGTATGAGTGCTTTGCTTGTTATGTATGTAAGTGCACTGTGTGCATGTACTGCCTTCAGAGGTCAGAAGTGGGTGTCACATCCCCTGAAACTGGAGTCACTGGCAATTGTGGGTGCTGGGAAATGAACCTGGGCCCTCTTCAGGAGCAGCAAGTGCTCTTAATCCAGTCCCAGCTGGTAACTCTTGATCTTCCTTTTCCAGCCACTCACCTTGCATAAATGTGATGCCCAGATTATCTCTGAAAGTCTCAGAACCCTGCTTTCTCTTTGTGTATAGTTTTGAAATACACCTTGATCAATGCATTTTTGCGCTCTTGATACACAAGGGGGCGCGTCTGGCCTAGGAATGGGAGCCTCAGAGGGGTGACTATTCTTGGTCTTGGCAGGGGAGAGCTCTCTTCCTCATTATGAAAATCCATTTTTTTTTCTTTTAACAAAGAAAACAACTTGTAGATATTATGAAACTTCCCCTATAAACCTTAAAGTAAAGCTTCCTAAGAACAAAGATACAATGGCTCAGAGATTAAGAGTACTTACTGCTCTTAAAGTGGACCTGGGTTCCCAGAACCCACATCAGGTGGCTCACAATCACCTGTAACTCCAGTTCCAAGGGATCTGACGCCCTCCTATGGCCTCTATGGGCACTGCATGCATGTGGAGCACATAAACTCTGGCAGGCACACACATAAACACATAAATCAAAAATCTTAACAAAGATGTTACAGACATTCTTCCTAATCACAGTGTTATCATTTCCATGAAATTTGGTATTGATGCAACTATGCACATGTAGTCGAAAGCCTCCCAGTATCTCCAAGATGTCCCATCCTTTTTCAATCCAGGATATCAATTTATGTTCTCTTAATATTAGATCATGGTCATTTTCTGAAATATTTTGCTATTAAATGATCATTTTTTCCAGCTAGTTAGTATTCCACAAGACTGATTTGCCATTATTTATTGATAACTTTCTCTTTGGTTGTTTATTCCTACTATAAATATAACCTGGTGGGTTCTTGCTCTCATATTTGTCCTCTTTGAGTTTGAGACAGGATCTTTTGTATCTAACACTGGCTATGTAGCTGAGGATGACTTTGAACTTCTGACCCTCCTTGCTTCCACCTCCCAAATGCCAGAATTATAGGTGTGTGCCACCATACCTGGTTTATGTGGTGCTGGCTTTGCTCATGCTGGGCAAGCACTCTATAAACTGAGCTACAGCACCAACCCTAAACCTGGTGTTAAGTGCAACTTTTCTCTTTTTCAACTTTGACTCAGGCACCAGTTCAACAGATACTGCAATGTAAAGTGAAATTGACTTTCCTGTATGGAATTCACTGGCTGTAACACATAGCTCAGGTTCTTTGGGGAGGTGCTGTTGGAGATTTGTATATAGGAGGTTTGTTGGTTACGGATTATCCTGGGATCAATGTACTGGCAGCAGGGATAAGATAGGGGCTGCCGACTTGCAGTGCAGTCACTGCCAGGTCTCAGCCAGTCCCCAGCAGGTTCTGGAGCTGGCAGTGTCTTCAGAGTTGTCTTGCATTTAGGCAGGAAGCAGGATCTTTATACCCCTACAGGGACCAGTCACTGGGCATATATTGCTTCTGGGAAGGGGGTGTGACATTTAGCATAGAGTGGTTTTCAGTGTCTTGCAGTAGGAATGAGGGCCTCAGTTCTGCAGGGGAGATGTACACAGGAACCATAGCATCTACCACACCAGAAAACACACCTGTTGTCTGATCTTGGATGCCCTCAGCCAGACTGATTACACAAGTGATCAGGATGGGCAATGGGGAGGAAAGGCAAGAGGTGCCATCAGGGAGTCAGGAGGACTAATGCTAACTCCTTCACCTCAAGAGTACAATAAGAGCTTCACACATTGAACTTGAAATGTATTTTCTATAGTTGAGGGCAAAGAGTACTGGCTAGAGTGTCTCTGGCGGTAGGACAGGAAACTGCGTCTGGTCCTGTGTGCCCAGCATTTGTTGCGGTAAATGATTAGAGAGTATTTCCTAGGGCTCAAGTTTGGGCCCTTGGGAGAGACCTTTCATTGGGAAATAATTTAAGACTCAGAAGAAGTTTCAAAAATATGAGAACCCTTCATCCAACTTTCTTTAGTGATAACATCTTATGTAACCATAGTGCATTAAATTTTTTTTTCTATTTTTCAGTATGTGTATATGTGTCTGTCTTTCTGTGTCTGTGCACATGAATGCAGTTGAGTACCCACAGAAGCCAGAAGTTGGTGCTGGATCCCTTGGAACTGTACTTACAGGCAGTTGTGAGCTTCCTGGCATGGGTACTGGGAACTGAACTTGTGTCCTTTGCTACAGCAATATGTACTTAATTGCTGAGCCATTCCTCCAGTCCACCACAATGCATTTTCTTTCTTTTCTTTTCTTTTTATTTTATGTGTATGCATGTATTGCCTGCATGTAGGTAAGTGCACCCATGTTGTGTAATGCCCTCGGAGGTCAGAAGAGGCTGTCGAATCTCCTGGGACTGGAGTTACAGACAGTTGTTAGCTGTCATGTGGGTGCTGGGATTCAAACCCAGGTCTTCTGCAGGATTTGGAATTGCCCAGGAGACATGCCTCCATAGTTCACGTGTGAAGAGTTTCCAGAAAGGTGGCAAGACCCGTCCTAAATGTGAGTGATGCTATTCCATGGGCTGGGGTCTTGGACTGAGTGAAAAGGAGAAAGTGAGTTGAGCACCAGCATTCATTTCTCTCTACTTCCTCACTATGGATGCTGTGAGTCCAGTTGCCTCGTGGTCCTGCTGCCATGCTGTCCTGCCATGATGGACTGCACCCTTAAACTCTTAGCCAAAATTAACCCTTCCATCTTTAAGTTGCATTCATCAGGTATTTTGTCACAGCAATGAACAAAGGAACTAATAAATAAAGATAACGACAAAGAAACTCTGTCATACCACAGCGTTGTCAGTTCTTGCTCCCAGCCCTAATCCTTGGCAACCACTGAGCTGCTCTTCATCACCAGATTTTTGTCTTTACAAGAATGTTATACAGCCGGGCATGGTGGCCCATGCCTTTAATCCCAGCACTGGGAAGCAGAGGCAGGTGGATCTCTGTGAGATCTAGGCCAGCCTAGTCTACATAGTAAGTTCTAGGCCAGCTGGGGCTACGAGGAGACCCTGTCTCAAAAATAAATAAATAAATAAATAAATAAATAAATAAATAAATAAATAAAGTGTTAAATAAATAGAACCACACAGAACATATCCCTTTGAGATTGACTTTTTTCTCTCAGGATAATATCCTTGAATATAATCCATGCCATTGCATGTATTAATAGTTTCTTTTTTTCCTTTTTTTTTGTATTTTGAGACAGGATCTCCCTGTACCCCCAACTAGCCTGGAACTTGCTTTGTAGACCAGACTGGCATGAATCTTATAGAGATCCTCTTGCCTCTGCTTCCTGAGTACTGGGTTTAAAGGGGTGTGTACCACACTTGGCTTAATAGTTTATTCTTTTTTTTCCCCCTCAGATATCCACATCCCACAAAGGCCTTTCTTGGCCTTCAGACAATAGTTCATTCTTTAAGCCAGGTATGGTGGTGCAGGTCTTTAGTCCTAGAATTCAGGAGTCAGAAGCAGGTAGACCTCTGTGAGTTTAGGGCCAGTCTGGTAGTGAGTTCCAGGCCAGCCAGAGATACATGGCGAGATCCTTCTCAAAAAACAAAACAAAACAAAAATAGTTCATGCTTTAATTTTTTTATTGCATTTATTTATTTAGAGTGTGAGTGTAGGTATGGCACACATGTTCCATGGTGTTTGTGTGGAGATCAGAGGATGACTTGCAGAAGTTTTGTTTCTCTCCTTCCACTATGTGGAACTCAGGTTGTCAAGTACCTTTATCCATTGGGCCATCTTGCATCTTGTCAACCCAATAGCTTTTTTTTTAGGAAAAAAAAGGTTTTGTACATGGGATGAAACAATATAAATTCAAACTTACAGATAAGGTTAGCTCTATCACTCCTCTCTTTTAAAAAGTTTATGTTAGCCACGCGTGATGGCGCATGCCTTTAATCCCAGCACTCGGGAGGCAGAGGCAGGCAGATCTCTGTGAGTTCAAGGCCAGCCTGGTCTACATAGTGAGTTCCTTAACAGCTGGGGCTACAGGGAGACCCTAGCTCAAAAAAACCAAAAAAAAAAAAAAAGTTTATATGAATATCCAATCAAAACCAATAGGGTATCTCTTGAAATGTTATCTATATGGATTCCAAGTAGGCCACAGGACTGCATACTGTCTTGGAATGTTCTCAGAAGGCTCTGTCATTGAACAGGTAACAGAGTAAAAATCTCAGAGTCCTTTCTTTCAAATGGAAGGAGGAAAGACAGAAACAGAACTATTCAAACTTCGTCTTCTTTCCTTGTGGCTTGAAGTCTCCTCCTCCTCCTCCCCTGCCTCCTCCGAAGCCTCCTTGACCTCCAAAGCCTCCCTGGCCCCTGCCACCAAATCTGCCTCTTCCTCCTCTGCTTCCACCTCGGCCTCCTCTGCCTCCTCTGCCTCCTCCACGGCCACCAAAGCTACCTTCACCCTTAGGCTTGGCCCAATCCAAGGTAACTTTCTTTCCATCAATTTCACCATCTTCCATGGCCTCCTTGGCAGCTTTGGCATCTTCGTCACTACTGAAGTTTACAGAACTAAACCCTTTGGGGGACCCAGTTTCCCAATCAGTGACTATTCTTGCACGAACAGAGCCCTCAAATGATTCTTCTAAGGTCTCTTCAGTGGTATCCTCAGACAGCCCTTTGACAAACAGAGTGTTGGATGGCTGACTTCTTGCATTAGGTGATCCCCTGGGTCCTTGCAACGCCAGTCTGATTGTTCTGCCTTCAATTTCCATTTTATTGCAGGAGTTAAAGCTTCTTTATCATCTTCAAATGAAGCAAATTTTATAAATGCATACCCTTTAGATTTGCCATTTGGGCTCTGGGGCACTCCGATAAAAGTTGCCTTCTCAAATACTTCCCGAAGAGTTTCCTCCATTGCACTGTAGGAAAGGTCACTTAAAACCAAAGTTTTTGATTCACCACTCCAAGTGCTATTCTTTCCCACTCTCTTGCTTTGACCTTTCTCTCCATTGTAGCGTAGTGAAGCAGATCGCCCATCAATTTCTGCCCCTGCTTTTCTTCCAAGGTTTTCTCCGCATCTGCTTCTGTCTTAAATTCAATATAAGCAATCCCTTCACTCTTCCCATCCTGGCTAACCAATCTAATCTCCATGGCATCTTCAAACACTTCTTTTAATTCATCCTCAGTGATGTTGAAAGACAGGTTTTTGGCCAAAAGTGTCCTTGCAGCTCGAACTTTCTTACTGTCTCTTCCTTTTGGTTTTTCTAGTTTAATTTCATTGCCAAACACTGTTAAGCCGGTGAGTTCCAAAGCCTTTTCTAGGTCTTTGGAAGACTCAAGATCAACATAACCAAATTTCCTATTTGTGCCAGTTCTGACATCCACAACAGCAAGATCATTTTTAGCAAAAAGTTCACTGGTAGAAACTTTTAATTCAGCAACTGATTTGCAAGGATTCAAGTTTCCAATGAACAGATTGAAAGACATAGTTGGTTCTGAGCCTTCAGCTTTCTGTTTCTTGGCCTCAGGAGCTTCTTTCTGTTTAGTCATTTCTTTTTTCCATTTTCCAGGTGCTTCTTTAACAGGCTCTTCCTCCTCCTCCTCCTCCTCTTCCTCCTCCCCCTCCTCTTCTTCCTCTTCATTTTCCCCCTTCTCCCCTCCCACTTCCCCTTCTTTCTCTTTTTCCCCTCTTCCTTCTCCCCTTCCCATTTCCCTTCTTCTTCCTCCTTTTTTAAACTTATATACCTGAGCTTTAAGATATTTATTTACAAAGTTCTTGCTATGACAATTGCTTTTACAATATATCAAGGAGTCATTTACTAAAGAGCATGCAGTACTGTCTCCAGAACCTCCTCCCAAATATCCAGCAAAGAGAAACCCAGGTACTAGTGCTAACTCACCATCTTCTTCTTCCTCATCATCTTCCTCCTCCTCATCATCATCATCTTCCTCCTCATCTTCTGAGGCAGGAGCAGGTGCTGCTGCTTTTGCCCCATTTGCTGGTTTCACTGCTTTTACTTTTTTCAGAACTGCAGGCTCAGATTCCTCCTCCTCATCGTTGTCTTCATCTTCATTCTCATCACTATCATCTTCCTCTTCCTCTTCATCCTCCTCATCACTGTCTTTCTTCTTGGCATTCTTACTATTCTTTGCCCCCTTGGCTGGGGTGACAGCTCCCTTCTTACTAGGCTGTGTTACCAATGCTTTTTGCTTGTGTAGCTCCCTTCTTACCAGGCGTTGCAACCACTTTGGCTGGGGTAAGTGTCTTCTTTGCTGGTGTGGCTGCTGCCTTTTTGCTTGGGGTGATGGCTGCCTTCTTAGCAGGTGTGGCAACTGCAACCGTTTTTGTTTGTGAAACCACCACTTTCTTTGCTGGAGTTGTAGCCTTCTTGCCTTTTTTCTGAGGGATGACAACCTCTTTTCCACTCACTGCTGTCGTCCTCTTCACCTTCTGACATTTCTTCATCTTCACTGTCTTCTTCCACCTCCTTCGGGGGAGGAGCCATTTTCTTGGACTCGCTTTCATCTTTTTTTTTTTTTTTTTTTGTCTTTTTGAGGCAGGGTCTCTCTGTAGCCCCAGCTGTCCTGGAACTCACTATGTAGACCAGGCTGGCCTTGAACTCACAGAGATCGCCTGCCTCTGCCTCCCGAGTGCTGGATTAAAGGCGTGGGCTACCACGCCGGCTCACTTTGATTTTTACCGAACTTTGCGAGTTTCACCATGACTGCCGCTTATGGCAACAGGGAGTGTGGCACTGGAGATGTGCTGATCAGCCTAGAGGAACCCGACGTACATGGCGCCCACGGGTACTGAAGACACTCAGTTTTTTTTTTTTAAAAGGCAGGATTTCAGTATGTTGCTTTGGTTGGCCTGCCACTTGCTTGAACTCAGAGATTCACCTGCCTCTGCCTCCCCAGTGCTGGGATTAAAGGTGTGCACCCCCACCCCCAGCCTCAGCCTCATTCTTTTCTATATCTTAGAGTATTGTTTGCTTATATGTCCATACACAGTTCATTTATCCATTTTGAGCAGGAGCTCTTTTGTTCTGCCTAAGAGGACTCACTAGGAGAGTGAAAAGCGGCCATTCACTGTAGCCTAAGAGAGGATTGCTTCCAACTAGGGACTTAGAGTGGAATTGTCTCCTTTGTCCTGAGAATAGAAACTGGAGAGGTCCCCAGAGGTGAGAATGGCTGAAGATCCCATGTAAAACATTACACTGAGAGGCAGCTTTACGTAGCTACAAAGCCCTGGGAGCAGGAAGTCAGCTTAGTAGGTCAGGCAGAAGCCACTTGGTAGCTGCAAGCATGATGTCATACTTCGTCCCTCCTCTTGGGATGAGATCCAAGACAGCAGCTCGTGAGTCAGGGGAGTCAGGGTTGAGGGAGCAGAGGATCCGTGTGGGAATCAGCCCCCAGAGTCATTTTTAAAAAAGATTATTTTGTTTATTATTCACGTGTATGTGTGTATGCCTATGTGACTTTATGTGCACTATGTTTGTGCAGGAGCACACAGAGACCCATGGAGGGCATCCAGTTCCCTGGAATTGGAGTTACAGATAGTTGTGAACTGCCATGTGAGTGCTGGGAACCAAACCCAGGACCTCTGCAAGACTAGTAAGTGCTCTTAACTGCTGAGCCAATTCTTCAGACCCCTCCTGGAATAAATTTTTAAAGTATTCATAATAAAACTTTTCATATTGCCAGGCATGGTGGTACACACCTTTCATCCCAGAACGTGGGAGGCAGAGGCAGGCAGATCTCTGTAAGCTCGAGGCCAGCCTGGTCTATATATTGAGTGCCAGGTCAGCTGGGGTTACACAGAGACCCTGTCTCAATAAGACAAAAAAACCCTTTTTAATATTTATTAATTATTTTTTTGGTACTGGGGATTGAATGAAGGGTCTTGCACGTGTTAGGCAAGCACTCTATACTGAGCTATGTCCCCAGCCATCTGAAGCAGGCAAGCATATGAAATAGTTTAGCCTGCAACTCTATTTGGTTTGGGTTATGCAACTTCTCCTCTTGCAATAATGTACTTGGCAGCCCTCTCCAAATAATGTACCCAGCAACCTCAGATCCCCCTGGACCGCCCACCTTCACTGGGCTACCTGCACTCCTATCTTTGAATAGTAGTATAGATTTCTCCACCCTTAGTAACAATCAAATTTAGACAAGAATTAAAGTACATTCCCAATGTATATAGGTATGAAAAGAGAAAGGCCAATCCAGCCTGAACTAGTTTGGGGTGCATATGTAGTAAGGCAAATTGTGTCCTCAAGTAAACTTTCAGAGAGAATCACCTATTTACCATCTTATGCTTATGCATGTGGTATTACTGTGCTACATTACAATTACCTGACTAGAACAACCTGACTCAAGTTTTTAAGAGCGGGTCTGAACTCAGGGATACCCATTCCTCTTGATGTCTCTCGGAACTGGCTCCTGGTGCTGAACTATGTGGTAGAACTGTGTCTGGAACTGTGACCTCCAGTCAGGCCTCACTCAATATTTTATTCAAAACTGTTTCTTCAGCCTTGGTTGGGGAAGTACAAACTCAGATCCACCCTTTTCTTCTCAGACAATCTTGTCTTTTCTCCCCTAGTTCTAGAATATCCTATATACACAATGTCAAGTGTCCTTTCTCAATCTTCATGTTTTCAGCGAAGATGTGCATGCTGCCTTTCAGCACCTTGATATATGTTAATTCTCAAGCATATCCACATTCATTCATTATCTTTTTGGGTAGAGTAGCAAATTGAGGTTTTCAGGAAACAAGATCAGATGCTCAGGTCACAAGAGCATATGATCAATGATTTTGCCAAAGTTAGTAAAAGTTATTAATTAGTTCAGAGTATGTCTATTGTATAAAAGTCATTCCTACATATGCATAATTGAGTGTTCATATGATGGTGCATGATGGGAAGGGACATGTGTAGTATAAAAATGATTATATAGGGAAGGAAGGCTATATACAAAGAACTATGGGAATAAAAGGGAGAAAACTCTTCTGATATACAGTTTTTGTGTTTTTTTTTTGAAAAAAGCCTTAAGCACAGAAGGAACCCTACGGGAATGGAAGAAAACCCTATCAGAAGCCATATGGTTGTTAAAATCCCAGTGCAGTGCTAGAGGTGGGTTGTCCCCCTATGAGCTGTTGGCCAGAGGTACCCTAGAGGTTCCCTAAACAATAAAGGCTATTGCCAATAATGTTGGTTGTATACTGGAAGTGGACGGTAAAACCCTATTGCTTCGACACCACATGATATGAGTGTAGAAGAGGGAGAAATCAAGCTTGGACTAAGCTGGAAACTCCCTGCCACTGGATGGGTGGCTTTCTGACTGCCAGAAGGAGATATGCAGATGGCTGGGGGAGAATCATCCCCTATAATTCTGCTCAACAATGGACCTGCATGTTCTATCTTGGGATGGAATGATGGGAAGGTAGGCAGGGGGAACTCTTTGAATCTTTTTATAAGCTCAGTGGTAAGGACACTTGCTAAGCATGTACAAGGCCCTGGACTCAGTCTTCCATATAGACAAAACCAAACCAAAACAACAAACAGAAACCCCCACCAAGATCTTGGCACTGAGGGAGCTAATTGTTGCTGGGATATCATTGCTTCTCAGTGGGCAGAGTTAGGAAAAATATGGATGTACACTAAAGACACACAGCTGTATATAAATTTCTTAATGTATTTCTATAAATACTGGAAGGCATATAAATACATTCATTCTAAAGCCAATACAAAAATACCGAGAAGGCATCTGTCTCCCAATCATAGAGAGAACAGATACATTATAATATTGCAGATGCAATATTGTTACCAATCACTGGGCTGCGGTTCTTCTTCTCTTATTAGAAATGGAGTTGGCAAATCTGAGCCCTTGTGCTAAAGGCTAATGGCTGAGGTTAGACTCAGAGGCTTATAGATCCAAGTCCTGACTACTAGAGGCTTATGTCTCTAGCCTCTGCAGGCCAGAAACTTAACTATGGCTCTAGATCTGAGGTTTTATTTTTAAAAATAATTTTATTGGGGCTGGAGAGAGAGCTCAGCAGTTAAAAGCACTGACTGTTCTTACAGAGGACCCAGGTTCAATTTCCAGCACTCACATGGTGACTAACAACTGTCCATAATGCCAGTTCCAGAGATCCAACACCCTCTTCTGACCTCCGCAGGCAGTGCACGACATCGGTGCATTTACATACATGCAGGCTACACTCATACACAGAAAATAAAAATAATAAATAAAATATTTTTAAAAAGAACAGCCAGTGCTCTTAACTGCTGAGCCATCTTTCCAGCCCTGATCCTGAGGTTTTAGGTTTATTACTGAGACATGATGGTCAGTGGTCCAGCACTTGGAACTACTGTAATCCTCAGCTTTTAGGAACAGTTGGTGAAACAGCAGTGAGCTACCAGTACCACAGCCAGTGTTACAGCAGTGGCTCCAAGTCCTGGGTGTTGGGGCTCACAGCTGCTTACGATGATTAGCATCACAGCTCTTGAGGCCCTTACAGTGACTAGTGATGATTTAGCTCTTGGGTCTTGGTTTGGGAGCCTTGGCCCTTAGGGCTTGGCAGTTCCCTGGAACTCTTCCAGTTTACTAGGGCTACAGTTCCTCATCTTTGACTTGTTACATCCTTTTCTATCTGCCCACCATTTTCATCATCTGTACCCCTAGTCACTTCCTGGATCTTATCAGCTGCTTTGCCACCACTGCTATGGCTTGTTGCCTTTGCTGTTGCTACGGCAACTGCTGCCATCTTCTGTTTGTGTTGCCAGCTAATCCAGCTTTATCCATAATAAAGAGCTTAAGTAAGCAAGAAAAGACCATTTGGGAGAAGCTTTTTGTTGGGCCTAGCCAGAGGGCAGCACAAGAGGGTATTTCCTGGCCACTCAAAATGTGAGTCAAATGACTAGCTTATAGAGCCAGAAAGTGGGCATGGTGTGTGTGTGACATGCAAATGTGGCATTGCAATCGACACCAACTACAGCACAGCTTTTAGTTCCATTGAATCACAGTCCTTACATATGGACCAATCACTACCTCTCTGCTGAGGCACTGAGGGGAGTGCTCCCCTTGCAGGACTGAGGGAGAATAGCTGAGGAGTGAGCAATGTCAGCTGGAGTTCACCAACCCTTGTCTGGGAGTGATGTCTTCCCAGGTAGTGCAGTTGACCGGAAGAGTCGTGACTGGAGCAGCCCTTCTGGGCAGGAGTCATGGCTTCAATTGTAGTATTCCTTGAGGCTGGAATGAAGATGTTCCTTAGAGTGCTAATGGGGCCACACTGTCTTGGAAGCAGTCAGTTGTGTGCCAAGTGCCTGCTTGGCTGGAATTTCCCTAATTGAGGCAACCAGGCATGGGAAAGGATCTGACAATTGCCATTCAGATGATGGGTAGATTGTTCCAAACAGTTCAAGCTATTTGAAGGAAAATAAAACCACGATGTGAAATAGTATAAAACCAATAGTATAAAAACCAATATTATTTTTTATTTTATTTGTATGAGTGTTTTTTCTGCATGTATGTAAGTGCAAATGTGCAAATGTGCATGCAAATGCCAGTTGATGCCAGAAGAGGGTGTTGAATACCCAGAACTGGAGTTCTGCATGGTTGTTAGCTGCCATGTGGGTGCTGGGAACCAAACTCAGACCCTCTGCAGGAGAAACCAGTGCCCTTAACCATTGAAACATCTCTTCAGCCCTAAATTAACTTCTTTTTCCCACTTTTCTGTCTCATTTTTCTTTTTTTTTTAACACTTTATTTATTTTTATTTTTTATGTGTACGAGTGTATTGTCTGCATGTATGTGAGTGCACCTGTGTTGTGCAATGCTGCGGAGGTCAGAAGAGGGCTTTGGATTCCCCCGGAACTGCAGTTAAGGATGGTTCATAGCTGCCATGTGGATGCTGGGAATTAAACCCAGGTCCTCTGCAAGAGCAGTCAGTGCTCTTAACTGCTGAGCCATCTCTCTAGTCCCTCATTTTTCTTTTTGAAAAAATTAAATTAATTTTTATATTATGTGTATGAGTATTTTGCCTGCATGTATGTAATTGCACCCATATTCTGCATTGCCCACAGAGGCCAGAAGAGGGTATTGGATCCCCTGGGACTGTTGTTATAGACAGTTGTTAGCTGCCACGTGGGTGCTGGGAACTGAACCTGGTTCCTCTGCAAGAACAGCCAGTGCTCTTACCAGTGAATCATTTCTTCAGCCCCTTTCTTTTGTTATTCTTTTTTATTTTTTTTTGTCTTTTTGAGACAGGGTCTCCTTGTAGCCCCACCTGTCCTGGAACGCACTATGTAGACCAGGCTGGCCTTGAACTCACAGAGATCTGCCTGCCTCTGCCTCCAGAGTGCTGGGACTAAGGGTGTGTGCCACCACGCCTGGCTCTTTTGTTATTTTTTTATTTAAGTTTTCTAAACAAATTTTGCAAATTTCATGCTATATATTTTGATAATATATGGACTCCTTCACCTATCTGCACCCCTTCTTAACACCCCTGCCAGATTTCACGAACGCCATTGCATGTGTGTGTGTGTGTGTGTGTGTGTGTGTGTATTTTTAAGGCCTAGCAAGTCAAACTTGTCCCAAGTGTCCTTTGGTGTGGGTCCATTCACTGGAACCTTGTTAACCTTCCCCAGAGTCTCATCCTTAAGGAAGATTGACTCTCCCCCTCCCAGCAGCTATCTGTTGTCAATAGTTCCACAGCTAGGGTTGGGGTTTCCTATCCACTTCCCCACTTCTATGCTGAGATTTTGTCTGGCTTGAACTTACAGTGGGACTTGTACATGCTGTCACTGCATCATATGAATAACTGACCAGCTGTCTGGAAAACTCTATTTCCTTGTGGTCATCTATCATCTTGGCTCTTACAATCTTTCTGCCCCCTCTTCTGCAATGATCCCTGAGCCCAGGGAGGCAGAAGTTTGATATAGGTGTCTTTTTCATGGATAAGCACTCTGTAGTCTCTTATTTTCTGAAAAAAATGTGGAATGCTTCATGAATTTGTGTGCCATCCTGTCACAGGGGCCATGACAATCTTCTCTGTATCATTCCAATTTTTGTGTATGTGCTGCCGAAGTGAGTTCTAAATTAACATTTTTAACAGTGCTAACAGAGCTTCATTCTTACATTCTGCAGATGCCCCTGGGGAGGTTGTGAGCTGCCCAGTGTGGGCGCCAAGACTGAACCTGGGTCCTGTGCAACAGCAGCAAGTGTTCTTAACCATGTCTCCAGCCTCTATGAAGTTTTAAAAATGTGTCTTCTAGAAAAATTGCATATTCAAAAGAAATTATCAGATTACTTTTTGAAGCAGAAGTGAAAAAAAATGAAAGTGGTGGCATGGGGGTAGATCTGGGAGGAGTTAGGGGGAGAGTATAAAGAAAATACATTGCATGCATGTATGAAATTCTCAAAGAATAAATAAAATATATGAAAAAGGGTCAATATGCATTTACTTACACATAAATTTATTGGTGCTAAAGGTTAGTCTGTATAATAACCTGATATATCTCTACATTCTGTCCTAAGAAAATCTGCTTTGATCTGTGTTTTCAAGTGACTTTTAAAACCTAGGGAGAACACTGTATTAATGTTATCATGGGACAAATGTATTATTTTGGAAAAAAGGATGTTCTTTAGTCCAGCCATTGAAATACAGCTTCATAGGGCTTAATGGAAAAAGTAGCAATGAAGGCAAAAACGAAAAACGAAACGAAACAAAACAAAACTGCTTCAACAGAATAATTTTGTGGACAAAGGTAGAAACCTGCAATCTTCCCTTTACCACAGCATTTCATATTTAGACCTTCTATTTTTAACCTGATAGGACTCACAGCTAATGCTTATGAGATCTGTGTCTAGACAGCTGAGAAAAACAGGAAATGAGTTACACTGTCATAGCTTCAGAGAATTTAACCTAATGTTTTCATGCTCAAAGCTGGGCCTACTTTAAAAAAAGCATTTCTTTTCTCCAGAGATTTTGGAAGTATTTAAGGAGCTATAATAATCTGGGGCCTCTTTCAAGGAGCACAGATAACTATTTTGGTGGAAAAGGAAATGAGGACGTGGTTTTATGGTGCTTGGACCATAAACTGAATACAGCAGCTTGGAGGAACACGTTTGCTGGTTTCTTCTGAATTCCAAGGATGACCTCATAGCAGACTCAACTGTGTGCTCCTAAAGGGTAGGAGCTCAGCCTGGTGACATAGTCTCTCTCTGTGCTAGACACAGTGTGATGCTATGGAACATAAAGGCCCCAGAAGAGCAAGTTATGGCAAGGTATCTAACATTACTGGGACACTTCTGTGTGCCAGGCATTGAGTTAATTATGTCACAAGTATTATCGAATTGTTTTAGTTTCATTCTACTGCTGTGATAAGACATTGGCCAAAAGCAACTTAGGGGAGGAAAAGGTTTATTTGGTTTGCTCTTCCAGGTCACAGTCCATCACTGAGGGAAGCCAGGGCAGGAACTCAAGCAGGAACTTGAAGCAGAAATCATGGAGGAACTGCTTGAGTTGCTCACTTGCAGGGTCATGTTCAGCCAGCTTTCTTATACAGTCCAGGAATACCTGCCCAGAGAATGATACCACCCACAGTGGGCTGGGCCCTCCTATATTAGTTAGCAATCAAGACAATCCCTCAGAGACAGATCCACAGACCAACCTGATAAAGATAATTACTTCTTTCAAGTGATTGTAGGCTGTGTCAAGTTGACAGCTAATGCCAACCAGGACACTCATTTAACTCTTGTGGGTTCGATTCCCAGCACCCACATGGCAGCTACAAACCATCCTTAACTCCAGTTCCAGGGGAATCAGAAGCCCTCTTCTGACCTCCACGGCATTGCACGACACGGGTGCACTCACATACATGCAGGCAATATACTCATACACATAAAATAAAAATAATAAAAAATATTTTAAAAAACCTCTTGCAACAGTTCTAAAATGTGGTAACCACTACAATACCAATTTTTGAGCTGAAGAAACAGAAGCATAAAGAAGTTAAGGAGCTTGCAAGAGTAGCAGCCCTGGCATGTGACTCCAAATCATGACTCTAGAACTATGTTCTTAGTTGCTGTATTAATTTTCTGACAGAATACCTGATAGAAACAGTTGCAAGGAAAAATATTTATTTTGGCTCATTGTATTAGGGGTATCAGTCCATCATGACAGAGAGGTCAAGAATAGTTCATGTCATAGTAGACAGGAATCAGAAAAGGGAATGCAGGAAGAGGCCAGCACAGTATACAGTCCCCAAGCACAGGCCCTTAGTATCCAACTTTCTCCAACTTCTTCTCTATCATCAACTCCCAATAATGCTATTTTATTACGAATCCATCAAGGAATGGATCCACAGGTCCAGGCCCTCATGATCAGGACCTCTTCCCAACAGATACACCTGGAGGTGTACTTTACTCATCTAGGTGCTACATAATCCAGTCAAGTTGGTAATCAATTAACCATCAGAGTTCATATGGCCTACTCATACAGTGATATTATGACGATTAAATAAAATGATGTATGTTAAAAATTGATCATAGTCTGTGGTTCATAATAAGTATCACAATTCTAATTAATGTTTACATCTATAAATGAGATTATGCTGTTCTTCAGTGTTAAGGGCATGATGGTTCTCATTTTCATACCGACTTAAGAGACGTGTGTTTAGTGTTCCTAAATATCTACTGAAATGACTAGTGGTAGAGAAGATTTATGCTCAAAATATTTATTGCATGCAGTGTGGCAATGGGGCTGAGATACAATGATGGTCACCGCTGGTCAGACTAGAAAACAATAAACACTAAAGGTAATTGGCTCACATGAGACAAAGTCTACTATGTTGGCTTCATTAGAGATTACTTCTTATAGTCTAAGACATAACCACATTGAGTATATAACAAATGTTACATGTAGTGCCTGCTTTGTAAAAGTCACTCAAAGACCATTGAGGAACATAAATATGACACATTCCTTTTGCTCATGGAACTTAACAGTCCAGTAGGGAATATACTTTAAAAAAAAACCCAACAAATGAAATAGCTATCCATTGTGTTAAGTGCCATCATAAAAAGGTTGAAGTATGAAATAATAGATTTGAGATATGGGGAGGAGGTCCAGATCCTACTTTGCATGGTGTAGTAAAGGAAAACATCCTTAAGTAGGTGAACTTTAATGATGAGAAAGTCTCAGACAGTCTCCGAGGTGGGTATCTCAGACTTGGGTAAGAGCTTGGTAAGTTCAAAGACCTGAAAGAGGATGAGTGTGGATGGAGCACAGCAGGAAGAAGGGATTCTGGGCCTCCTTCCTCACACTGGGTCTCTTGTTTCTTCACTGCTGTGGCAATTTGGATGTGAAGTTAACAAGAAAGGTTCATTGTCGGGAGTGGCAAGACCAGAGCACTTGTGTGGGCTGGAGGAACATGTGTGTGGGAACCGCCAAAACTGAAAATGCAGATATGCAGATCAGGGTTCAATCTAGGCTGGTCTTGGGATCAGGCTTAGAAGGAAACCAGGACTCCAATTGGAAAATTTCAGGGAGTTTAAAAAATGGAGCATTTATGGGCAGTTAGGAGAAGCAACAAAAAATGCTGCATTAAGCCAATGTCATCAACACCATAGAGCTACAGCAGCTAGCATCATTAGCCCTCTTAAGATCTCTTCCTAATTACCACTCATGAAAATATGTTAATTTACATGGCAAGAGTGACTTTACAGATGTGGTTGCCAAGACAGGGAGATGATCCTGGCTCTGAAGTGGGTTTGGTGAATTACATGAATTGTGATGGTCAGTGGGCATCCTCACTGGTGACTTACAAATCTTATACAAATTTTCAAATTGATTAAATATGGAGAAAATAGGAAAATAGGTCTTGGGATGTCTTTCTTCCCTCCCTCTGTTGGGATTAAAGGCGTGTACCACCATAACCGGCTTGGGATGTAGTTCAATGGCAGAGCACGTTCCTAGGATGTGCAAGGCTCTGTATTTGGTAGCACTGCAAAAAAAAAAAAATCCTGAGAGAAGGAGGGAGGAAGGAAAGGAAGGAAAGAAGGAAAAAAATAGTATAAAGATTCTCACTCATCACTATATTTAGTGATGAGCTATTGAATGATTATAAACAGGCAAGTGATATAATTAGATATGTGCTTTAAGTCATCTTCAGGACAGCTATGTGGGTAGTTTGGAGGGGCTTAGCCTAGAGGTAGGGAGGCAGGTTACCAACTTCTAGTGAACTCTTAGGCAAGTGATGCTGCTGGAGGGCTTGCATCTGGGGACAAGCAGCAGAGAAGACAAGGAGGAGGCTTATCCTGGAGAGATTTAAGGGTAGGACTGACTGACAGGTATATTTCAAACATGAGTCTGTGTTTCACTGAATTGAAAGTGTTGTGGATTATAAGATACGGCCATTATTCAAAGGTATCAAAAAGAAACAAGGCTAGGGATATAGCTTAGCTTTAGACTGCTTGCTTAGCATGCACAAAGCCAGCTCAGATTTGATCCCCGGAACCACAAAAAACCAGGCATGGTGGCACACACCTGTAATTCCAGCACTTGACTTGTGGAGACAGGAGGATTAGAAGTTCAAAGTAATACCAGCTACCTAGGTTACATGATACATTGAAAAACAGAATGCTATACAATATGACACAATCAAGTTTTCATTTTAGAATTGGTGAAATATTCTGGAATTAAATGCTAGGACTGCCAGCTCCTCATGAGGACTCTGAACATAATAAGCCAGTCACAATTATTACTGTATAAAAGAGGATCTGCTATCTGGTGCAGTGTGGATCAATGGACATATCTTTTTATGCTTCTTCAATTGAACTCATGCCATCTTGATTAAATAACATGTTTGGGGGACTTGCATGGTTGGGAACTTCATAGAGCTTCTCACTTTAACAAGTGATACTTAGATGCAGTGATGCTATTCATGATACTATCTATGAGGTATGGGTATGCTTAGGTCCGAGGCAGCCTGATTCTGTTTATTTAGTATAAATAGATATTTTGTGTGGCTGTGTTCCGGGTCTTGGCTTCTGTTTCCCTTTCTAGGAGCTTTCTTGGGTTTTTAGAGAGAACTTG